TATCTATGGAGGCAAAGAAGGGAATGTATGAAAGTATAGTAGTACCAACACTCTTATATGGGTGTGAAGCTTGGGTGGTAAATGCAGCAGCGAGGAGACGGTTGGAGGCAGCGGAGATGTCCTGTTTAAGGGCAATGTGTGGTGTAAATATTATGCAGAAAATTCGGAGTGTGGAAATTAGGAGAAGGTGTGGAGTTAATAAAAGTATTAGTCAGAGGGCAGAAGAGGGGTTGTTGAGGTGGTTTGGTCATTTAGAGAGAATGGATCACAGTAGAATGACATGGAAAGCATATAAATCTATAGGGGAAGGAAGGCGGGGTAGGGTCGTCCTCGAAAGGGTTGGAGAGAGGGGGTAAGGAGGTTTTGTGGGTAAGGGGCTTGGACTTCCAGCAAGCGTGCGTGAGCGTGTTAGATAGGAGTGAATGGAGACGAATGGTACTTGGGACCTGACGATCTGTTGGAGTGTGAGCAGGGTAATATTTAGTGAAGGGATTCAGGGAAACCGGTTATTTTCATATAGTCAGACTTGAGTCCTGGAAATGGGAAGTACAATGCCTGCACTTTAAAGGAGGGGTTTGGGATATTGGCAGTTTGGAGGGATATGTTGTGTATCTTTATATGTTTATGCTTCTAGACTGTTGTATTCTGAGCACCTCTGCAAAAACAGTGATAATGTGCGAGTGTGGTGAAAGTGTTGAATGATGATGAAAGTATTTTCTTTTTGGGGATTTTCTTTCTTTTTTGGGTCACCCTGCCTCGGTGGGAGACGGCCGACTTGTTGAAAAAAAGAAAAAAAAAAAAAAATTAATCTGTTCCAGACAAAAATATTCACCAAAAAGTATTTTCTTAACAATTAAATCAATATTACATACCTTCAATAAAGACTAATGCTGGCTTCTGGAATGCCTGCTACACTCCCTGCATGCCTGCTACACTTCACTCTTAAATTCCATGGTGTTTCTCACTTTCTTTACAACAGGAACTTTACTAGGAAATTTCTCTGGAGCCATGGATACCTATTTCGCAGTTTTTTTTTTTTTTCCAACAAGTCAGCAGTCTCCCACCGAGGCAGGGTGACCCAAAAAGAAAGAAAATCCCCAAAAAAGAAAATACTTTCATCATCATTCAACACTTTCACCTCACTCACACAATCACTGTTTTTGCAGACGTGCTCAGAACACAACAGTTTAGAAGCATATACGTATAAAGATACACAACATATCCCTCCAAACTGCTAATATCCCGAACCCCTCCTTTAGAGTGCAGGCATTGTACTTCCCATTTCCAGGACTTGAGTCTTGCTATATAAAAATAACCGGTTTCCCTGAATCCCTTCACTAAATATTACCCTGCTCACACTCCAACAGATCGTCAGGTCCCAAATACTATTCGTCTCCATTCACTCCTATCGAACACGTCATACACACCTGCTGGAAGTCCAAGCCCCTCGCCCACAAAACCTCCCTTACCCCTTCCTTCCAACCTTTTTGAGGACGACCCCTACTCCACCTTCCTTCTCCTACAGATTTAAATGCTCTCCATGTCATTCTACTTTGATCCATTCTCTCTAACTGACCAAACCACCTCAACAACCCCTCTTCAACCCTCTGACTAATACTTTTATTAACTACACACCTTCACAGTTGCACTGTAAAAAAAACCCACAAAAAACAATGGAAGACAAGTGAAATGTTTGGATGTATGAGCAGAAGCTTCCTCATACACCGAAAGACATGGTCAGACTGACTCACAAGCGGCTCCAGCCGCTGGACGGATACGTCCCAAATGGCCGATCACTAAATTAACGACCGATAACCGGGCACCAAAAAACCAGCCAATCACCAAGTTGGCCAATAACAGAAGCGGCCAATAACCAGGGGTCCACTGTATATATATAATGGAACCCTGGCTGTCAACTGCACTACTTGTTGAACAAAGCAGTTTTTGTACGAAAAATTCAAGAAAAATATGTCCTGGTTTTCATACGTTCTCTTGGCTATCAACCGACAATGCCAACAGCTCAGGTCACGTGCTTACAGAATGCGCACTGGACCTTGTAAAAGGCATGAAAGTGGTATCAAGGCAAAAGCCACAAATTATTGAGGAGGTTGAAAATGTCTTGTTGATTTGGATAAATGAAAAACAGTTCCACAGTCAGTGTTTCAGAGGCAATTATTTGTGAAAAAGCAAGGCAGTTGTATGACGACGACCTGGGAAAAAAAAAAAAGGGTAAACAAGTGCTAAAAATCAATCATTCAAGGCTAGTTGGGGCTGGTTTGATACAAAAACCTTGGGCCTAGAGGTGACTGAAGATTATGCGGAGTTGGAGGAGGAGCATAGAACTGAACTCGCCACACAAGGACATGTAGACCTTCAGGAGCAGCAGCAACAGATTGCAGCAGAGGAGCTGTCATCAGAGGAAGAGGGAAGGGATGATGTGCCCATTACACTTGTCAAGAAAATGTGTGCTAAATGGCATGAATTGCAGGAGTTTGCTGAAAAATACCATCTAAAGCAGTGGCCATCCATTTCTCTAACATGTACAATGACAGTGTAATGTCTCAATTCAGACATGTGTTAAAACGAAGCCTGAAACAAACCTCACTGGACAAGTTTTTAGTGATACAAAGAACCAGTAAACCAGATGTTAGTGGTGGAGAGAGACAAAGAAGAGAAACAACACCACAATGGTTGCCTGACACATTAATAGGACTCTCCTTCCAAGCAGTAGCATACCCCCTCTTCTCCACGTCCTGCTTCCAGGATGCCATTAGTTCTCTTATTTAAGAGGCAGTTAAATTTTCATTTAGTACAGTATTTCAGTTAAAGTTTCCTTTAGTATTCATTTTTAGTTTTATGTAGCAGTTAGTACATTTTTAACAAATTATTATATTGTCATTTGGGTCTGGAATGGATTAATTCTATTTACATTATTCTTTATGAGAAAAATGGTTTTGGTAGTCATCTACTTTGGTCGTCGAATTGACATCTGGAATGAATTAAATTCAACAACCAAGGTTCCACTGTATATGTAGGCACCAATGAGAAGTATTGAAGAGAAGCTATGAAAAATTAATGAATGTAAACTACATGAGAGAAGACTGGCAAATTTGAAGATAAACTTAGAAAAGACTTTACAAAACTGTTTAACCCTTTGAGGGTCGACAGGCCCTCTCCGAAACTCGTTCTCAGGGTCGGCCAAATTTAAAAAAAAAAAAAATTATTTTCTCTTATGAAAAGATAGAGAATCTTTTTCCGATCATAACGACACCAAAAGTTTGAAATTTGATAGAAAACTTACGGAATTATCCTCTCGCAAAGTTAGCGGTCTCGGCGATGTTTACGCATCGGCGATTTTGCCCACTTTGAGCCCCATTTTCGGCCAATTTCACTGTACTAGTCGACAAAAAACATGAATATTTCGCTAGAACTCCATTTTTTCTATCGAATGGGTGCAAGAAACCACCCATTTATAAATTCAACTATCCAGTACAGTGGTCAGAATTTAGCAATTTTGCCAATTTCACACAAATTTCAAAAGATGCCAATTTCAGAATAGGGTCCAGAATAAACAAGATAGACATTCCTGGCACTAAAATGACATTTCCTCTAGTCATTAGTCACGTCTCAAGGCCCCTCTTATATTCTTTTGCTTTCCACTTTGAATTTTTATTCTCACAAAAAATATAAGATTTACTGTTATGCAGACTACTGCATTAGTGTAAAAAATGGTATAAATATTATTGGTGCACTTGTGAAAGAATATTAGACTCACCAGTTGATGTGTATTGCACGCTTGGCACGATTTGTTTACTTTTGAAGTTTGGTAAAAATCGAACATTTCTGCTACTTTGAGCTCAATTTCAAGGCACCTTTCATTGTAAAACCAGTCAAAATCATCTCAATTTCTGTAATATGTCTTCCATTCTATAAAATGAGACCAAGAAAACTAGAATAGAACAATAAATACCATACGAAAATACACTGCAAAGTCGCTGATTTATTAAAAAAAAATGGTAAAAATTTTTTTTTTCTCATTATGCACTGTGTGCTGCAGGATTTTTTTTAAACTGTGCACACTGACCACATAGACCCATTCTTTCATATGAAGGCCAACCAGCTTTCTCCCACTAGATTTGAGGCCGCTAGAATTTATGAGTACTAGTACGTCAAAAACCCCTACTCGTAAGACGTACTAGTACGACGAAAACCCTCAAAGGGTTAAAGCCAAATATGTAGATGCTTATGATCCTATAAAATATGAAATGTCAGAAGCAGACAAGACCAAATTTACAGCAACAATGACAAAAACAACACTTATGTTAACTGGGAGACAGTTTTTACAAGCCCAAGTAAATGATGTACAAAACAAAAGATGGATTGAAATAAAAAGTTAAAAATATTTATGTCATAACCAGCTAATGAGGAAATTAGATACAGTAAAACACTGTTGTAAATTTAAAGATTTAAAACACCTGAGTACTGCCAGACAGAACTGTAATATAATTAATATATAAATAAATAAATATAAGAGATAAAAATTAGATTAGATACAAGGGGAAAAATACGAACAAGATGGAGGAAAACGCTCTTGTGCAGAGCAAACTTTTACTGTGTCAATTTAACAAGGCTCTACACAGAGTAAAATGTAGTTTTGGTAAGCTTAAATTGCTTATGTGCCTTTCACACCAAAATGAGGATAGATAACAAAACGACTGAACAAGCAATAATAGAAAGCTTCAAAAGAATTTTCTAAGAGTAATATGACGAGGTGTTACGAGCAGTTTCTCCTTTAGCTTTGAAAAGAATTAATGGGAAGAATTTGATCAGGTGGCAGAGGTTCTTCTCAAGCAAAACAAGAGATGGCTTATATAGTATCATACAACTAACCTATTTGATACACCACCATTCATGCAAGCATGGGCCTGAATCGCCATTTTAAGAGCCTCATTTTCTCTGAACCAAAATTAGTATGCCTTATGTAACAGAAAAAAAATTACACTTATGATGGTTGGGTGTGTGGTAGTAGTGGTGGCAGTAGTTGTAGTCGTCATAGTTGTCAAAGGGGCATCTGTACGTGGTTTCTTGGACAAAGGCTCATCCTTTGATGGTTCTTCAGCTTTGTTCTTCAAACTTACAACTTCCGCTGGAGGATTATTTACCATCTTGTCAACATCTGCTCGATCTACAAGGTCAGGTGGCTTCTCCCAAACAGATGTTCTGGGTAAAAGAGTAATACAACTTTAATATAAATAAATGAGCACGTTAGATAGGAGTGGAGGCAAAAAGTTTTTGGGACCTGACAAGCTGTTGGTGTGAATGAAGTAACATTTTGTTAAAGGATTCAGGGAAACCAGTTAGCCACACAGAAGTCCTGGAGGTGGAAAGTACAGGGCCTACACTCTAAAGAAGGGATATTTGTTGTTTACAAGGTCATCTTAACTGTAGTATCTGCACGCCTTTGGCATGACACTAATAGTGAATGTTTTTCTTTTTTCTGGGTCACCCTACCTTGGTGAGAGATGGCCAGTGTGTAAAAAAAAATATATGGAACAGGTGGTAGGTTACTGAAAGCAGTCAAAGAGTTTTTATGAAGATAGCAAGGCATAGGTTAGGGTATGTAGGAGGAAGATTATTTTTCAGTAAAGTAGGCTCTAGATAGGGATGCGTGATGTCCCCCATGGTTGTTTAACATATAGATGGGTTTGTAAAAGAAGTGAATGTTAGGGTGTTAGGGAGGTGTGGGGTAAAAATATACAGAATCTAATACAAAGTGGGAGTTTTCATGGTTTGGTTACTTTTTTTTTTTTTTTTTTTTTTTTTTTTTTTTTGCCAATGTCACTGCTTTCGCGAGATTCTGAAGAGAAGTTTCAACGGCTGGTGGACGAGTTTGGGAGGGTATATAAAAGAAGGAAATTAAAATTGAACATGGAAAGAGTGTATGTGGGAAACAAATGTGCTCAGGTATTTGGGAGCACTTCATCTACACATCCCCTACCCATTCTAAAGCCTCCTTACTCATCTGCAATCCTGCTCTCTGTCTTACCTCCAATTTTTTCAATAATAACCCTACCATACACTTTACCTGGTATACTCAGTAAATTTATTCCCCTATAATTTTTACATTCTCTTAAGTCCCCCTTCCCTTTATATAAAGGAACTATGTGTGCTCTCTGCCAATCCCTAGGTACCTTCCCCTCCTTCATACATTTATTAAACAAAAATACCAACCACTCCAACACTGTATCCCCCCTCCCTGATTTTAACATTTCTGTCATGATCCCATCAGTTCCAGCTGCTTTATCTACTTTCATTCTATGTAATACCTCACGGACCTCCCCCACACTCACATCTTGCTCTTCTTCACTCCTAAAAGATATTATACCTCCTTGGCCAGTGCATGAAATTACCACCTCCCATTCTTCATCGACATTTAAAAATTCCTCAAAATATTCCCACCATCTACTGGGCCACGGGGGCGTTGACCCCTAAAACTCTCTCCAGGTAAACTCCAGGTAATACCTCCAGCTCCCTATCTACTAACTCCCCTACTCTGTTTTTAACTGACAAGTCCATTCGTTCCCTAGGCTTAACTTCTCTCACTCCATATTTTTTTCTTATTCTCAGCAAAATTTCTTCACAGTGCCTTTCCCATTCTATTTGCTCTCCTTTTGCACTCTCACCACTCTCCTCACCTTTCTTTTACTCTCTATATACTCTGTCCTTACATCACTTCTGCTTTGTAAAAACCTCTCATGAGCTACCTTCTCTTTTATCACACACTTTACTACAGCATTCCACCAATCACTCCTCTTTCCTCTTGCACCCACCCTCCTATAGCCACAAACTTCTGACCCACATTCTAATACTGCATTTTTAAAACTATCCCACCCCTCTTAAAGCCCCCCACCTCCACTACCATGCTTGCATTAGCTCACCTTTCTGCCAATAGTTGCTTGCATCCCACCCTAACTTCCTCCTCCCTTAGTTTATAAACTTTCACCTCTCTCTCACTTACTGTTGCCATTTTCCTTCTGTCCCATCTACCTCTTACTCTAACTGTAGCTACAACTAGATAATGATCCGATATATCTGCTGCCCCTCTATAAGCATCAACTTCTATAAATGTACCTCTATGTTCAGATGTCAAAATATAACACAGGGGAGCAAGGAGCTAGTAACCCCTCTTCCTATACATATTACTAAATTTAAAAGAAGAATCTCTTGTTATTCCTCTTGGGCCATCCTGCCTCAGTGGGATACGGCCAGTTAGTTGAAAGAAAAATATAACACAAACAGAAGAAAATAAAAAAAAGCTTCAGGAAGATCTAGACAAACTTCAGGAACAGGTGAATAAATAGTTATTAAATGCCAGCCCGAAGCTCTTACATAGCTAGTAAATACAGCCGGACTTCAGTCCTGGAAATGGGAAGTACAATGCCCGCACTCTAAAGGAGGGGTTCGGGGTATTAGCAGTTTGGAGGGATATGTTGTGTATCTTTATAGGTATATGCTTCTAAACTGTTATGTTCTGAGCACCTCTGCAAAAACAGTGATTATGTGTGAGTGAGGTGAAAGTGTTGAATGATGATGAAAGTATTTTCTTTTCGGGGATTTTCTTTCTTTTTTTGGGTCACCCTGCCTCGGTGGGAGACGGCCGACTTGTTAAAAAAAAAAAAAATTACATACCGAGTACAGTCTTGGGGATATTATGTACAGAGAAGCCACTGAGAAAAAGGACCAAGAACTAACCTATTTTTAACCTATTCATGAAGGTAACATATTAAGAAAACCTCTTGCTGAAGGTAAGAGTTTTTAAGGAAATATGTCCCTGAAAGTAACAGCTATTAAGAAAACAGTCTCAAAAGGTAATAACAGTTTCCCTCAAAATTGTGAAAACATTTAATGAATTTCATGACATTACCATAATATACATTAATCTATTATGATCCTCATTACTCATGCAATGTTAAGATTTGTCTCCTATCAATGACCTTAATACGCACAAACCTCTAAATGAAACAAAACATGAGATACTAACTTGGTTGTAGGATTATAAAAGAAGACTCTACCATCACCAGTCCACACAACACACCAAGGAGTGCCAGAGACTGGCTGAGAAGATACTGGTCGACTAAGGTCTTGTTGACTTTTCTGATCATCTGTTTCACCATCCTGTACAAGGTTAAATTTCATTGCAAACAGTGAGGATCTTATTTCTGCTAGCTACTCTCAATTTCATACTTATAAAATTTGCCAATCTACTTACTGTATTCACATGCACTAGTTTCCATTCCTTGCCAACATTAGTCAATACTTTTGTTTATAAAAACATATTTGGCATATTTCTGAAAATTACTTTAAGGATAAATATAAACATCAAAGCTATTTTAAGACTTTCAAATTTTACAGCAGTAGTACAAAGAGAATAGAATATTTTTGTAAAAAAATATATACAAATTACAAAACTCTAGAAATAACTTACTTTTGAGTCATCATTGTCAACCTCCATTGATGTGTTTTTGTCATCAGGAGAAGTTGAATCTTCTCCATTCACCTTAGTGGAGTTATTTTCTGGAGGATCTGCCTCTGTGCCAGGTGCCCCAGGACCAGAGTTCACCGATAATGTAATGCCCTGTGCTAATGCTAACCTTGCAGCTGAAAAATCAGGAATTAAAATATTTACCGCCATTATGCATTTTCCATTTGAATTTATTTTTTACATTAAGGAATATATAGTCGGACTTGAGTTCTGGAAATGGGAAGTACAATGCCTGCACTTTAAAGGAGGGGTTTGGGATATTGGCAGTTTGGAGGGATATGTTGTGTATCTTTATACGTATATGCTTCTAAACTGTTGTATTCTGAACACCTCTGCAAAAACAGTGATAATGTGTGAGTGTGGTGAAAGTGTTGAATGATGAAAGTATTTTCTTTTTGGGGATTTTCTTTCTTTTTTTTGGGTCACCCTGCCTCGGTGGGAGACGGCCGACTTGTTGAAAAAAAAAAAAAATTAAGGAATAGTGACAATATGAACAATAGTGATCTCACATACAATAAAGTCTGTGAAATGTTGGTAAAATGATTTGAAGAGGCCTTCTCAGTGAAAACTGAAGTAACACCAGAGGCTAAGGAACATGGGGCACCAACAGATACTGGATGCCATCCACACAGCAGGGAGGTAGTCAAGAAACTTTTGACAAGCTTGGATATATCAAAAGAAAAGTGACCTGATGCATCACCATGGAGTCTGCAAGATTGTGCACATGCATTGCCTAAACCACTAGCTATGATCTACCATAAATCAATGGATACAGGAAAGTTAGCAGAGATAAGAAATGCAGCAAATATAGTCCTTATACATAAGAAATGAGACAGACAGGAGGAATTAAACTACACACAAATTTCCTTAACATGCATAGCTTGCAATGTAATGGAGAAACTAATCATGGGAAGAGTGATATTATACTTGGAGAGAAGCAACTTCATAAACAATAACCAGAAGTTCTATGACAAAGAAACAGACATACAACGAGAGATTATTGATGGATTCCTTATTTTTTCAGACTGCATGATGATGTTTGATACCATACCCTATATATAAGAGGCTGTGTCAAAAACCTAAGATTCAGGTGGGAATAATAGGGAACATACTTCAATGAATCAAAAAGTATCTTAGGATAAGGAAGCAAAGATAGACTATCTGGAAAGAAATGACAAAATGGAGAAGAGTAAATAGTGGGGCTCTGCAAGGATAGATATTACGATTAGTACTATTTCTGGTTTATATGAATGACATTCCAGATTGGATTCAGAAATATCTGTTTGCTAGCAATATAAAAATAATGAAACTAAAATCAGGTGGACAAGGAAAAGTTAACACTTAAACGGTCCAAACGTATATATACGTTTTTTCAACATCTGAATGTAAAAAATGTAGATCTTTTTTGTTTTACATTTGAAAACATTTTTTCTTCTTCTTATTCTTTTTAGTAATCTTTACAAGAAAAGGGGTTACTAGCCCATTGTTCCCGGCATTTTAGCTGACTTTTACAACACGCATGGCTTACGGAGGAAAGATTCTTATTCCACTTCCCCATGGATATAAAAAGAAAGTAATAAGACCAAGAACTATTAAGATAAAATCAAAGAAAACTCAGATGAGTGTGTATAAATAAACGTGTACATGTATGTGTAGTGTGACCTAAGTATAAGTAGAAGTAGCAAGACGTACCTGTAATCTTGCATATTTATGAGACAGACAAAAGACACCAGCAATCCTACCATCATGTGAAACAATTACAGGCTTTCGTTTTACACCTCTGCAAAAACAGTGATAATGTATGAGTGTGGTGAAAGTGCTGAATGATGATGAAAGTATTTTCTTTTGGGGGGATTTTCTTTCTTTTTTTTTTTTGGGTCACCCTGCCTCAGTGGGAGACGGCCGACTTGTTGAAAAAAAAAAATTTCAAAACATGTAAAAAAAAAAAAAACTTTTATTTACATTTCTTTTTGTTATATTTGAAAATATGTAAAAAAAAAAGTAGATCTACTTTAGGAGCACTACGAATTTGAACGTCAATCTGTTTGGACCGTTTAAGGGTTAAAAAAGAATCTGGACAAATTACAAGTGGTCAGTATTGCACCCCCTGAATGGGGCCCAATGTTTTTAGTGTATATTGTATGTATATACAATAGACCCTCCAATTTCGTGATTAATCCATTCCAGAGAGTCTGCCGAAAGTCAAAATTCACGAAAACTGAAACCATTTTCCCCATAAGAAATAATGAAATCCAATTAATCCTTTCTAGACACCCAAAAGTATTAACCAAAAATACATTTTTTAGGTTAAATTTATTGTTACATACAGAAAAGAATGACAAATCAATATACACATAAAACAATAACAACATCATACTTACCTTCATTGAAGATTTGTTGGAGGAGGGGAGAGGGAGAAGTTACTATTGTTTGGAGGGGAAATCCCCTTCCATAAAGACTTTATGTACTGAGTCTTTATACAGGGTTACTTCTCTTCTTTGTTTTTTAATGGCACTAGGACCAGCTTGAGAGTCACTGGACCCCTGTCGCACAAAATATCTGTCCAGGGAGCTGTTTATGGCATCTCTAAGATTTGCCTAAAATGGGACATAACATTGTCATTGTATACGTTACTGGCACGGCTTGCAACAGATTTGGTAGGGTGATGCTCCTCCTCAAACATTTGCACCTCACTCCACTTTGCACAAATATCTTTAATCACCAAAGAAGGCACCTTCTCTTTCTTCCTACTCCTCTGAAGCAATTTCCTCAGCTGTGGTCTGCTGTTGCAGATGAAGGTCTTGCAGCTCTTCAGTGGTTAGCTCTTCACTGTGGTCCTCCACCAACTCTTCCACATCTTTGCCACTCACATTCAACCCCATGGAATTCCCCAATGACAACAGATTCCATAATAGGTGTAGGGTCAACAGGGTCAGTCTCAAACCCTTCAAAATCCTTCTCTTGGACACATTCTGGCCACAATTTTCTCCAAGCAGAGTTCAAAATCCTGGAAGTCACTCCCTGCCAAGGATAGTTTATAAGAGTTATGCATCTGAGGATACTGAAGTGATCTTTACAGAACTCTCTTAGGGTCAATTCAGTGTCTGACATCACATCAAAACACCTTCGAAACATTGGTTTGGTGTAGAGTTTTTTGAAGTTTGAAGTGATCTGCTGGTCCATGGGCTGGATGAGAGGAGTGGTATTAGGGGGCAAGAACTTTACTGTGATGAAACTAAACTCCTCCAACAATTGGTCATCCAAGTCTGGAGGATGAGCAGGAGCACAGTCCATTACCAGGAGACACTTGAATGGCAATTTTTTTCCTGGAGGTATCTCTTCACACTCAGGCCAAACACTTCATTGAACCAATCAAGGAAAATTTGCCTCGTGACCCATGCCTTATTTTTAGCCTTCCACATCACACACAATTTACTCTTGAGGACACTTTTCCTTGAACACACTGGGATTTTCAGAGTGATACACCAGTAAAAGCTTCACTTTGAAATTCCCACTAGCATTACCACAGAACAAGAGAGTTAGGCTGTCTTTAAAAGGCTTGTGTCCTGGAATTGCTTTTTCCTCCTGCATGATGTAGGTCCTCTTTGGCACTTTTTTCCAAAAGAGGCCTGTTTCGTCACAAATGAACACTTGTTCGGGGAGGAATCCTTCATCCACTACATACACCTTGAATTCACGCACAAATTTTTCAGCTGCACATTTGTCTGAACTTGCAGCCTCACCATGCCTTACAATACTGTGTATGCCACTTCGCTTCATGAATTTTTCGAGCCAGCCTTTGCTGGCCTTAAATTCACTAACATGAGCACTCGTTTAAGGCATTTTCTTCATGAGATCGGCATGCAACTGCCTTGCCTTTTCACATATTATCGACTACATAACACTATCTCCTGCTAACTGCTTTTGGTTAATCCACACCAACAACTTCTCAACATCTTCAATTATTTGCTCTCTTTTTCATCATCAGCTTCCTTGATTTCTTTTACATCCTGGCAAGGTCAGCCACACACGCCAATTTCATATTTTTCAACAATCTCTCTCTTTAATTCTATCGTGTTTCTCACCTTCTTTACCAAAGGGCTGGCTTATTTAGTAGTTGAAAACCCAAAAAAACAATGGGGTGATGCTCAATCGCCTAGAAACAATGCCAGACTGACTTTTGAATGCATCTTTGGGAGGCTTTGTGTGTGCGGGGCCACTGGAACATGTACTGCACGGCAGCCAAATTTAGAGGGAAGTCACGAAAATAGTGGCTATATTTTGACAAAAAAAGTTGCCAATAATCAAAATTCACGAAAATAGAGCCTCACAAAATTAGAGGTATTATTGAATTGACCTCCTCATATAATTTTATATTGCCAATATGTTCATTAATAACTAAAATGAAAACATCTTGCTTTATATTATTATCTGACTTATTATATTAGCTATGTATGTAGGTAGGATGTAACATATTACACTTCACACTGTGCTCGCTGTTGAAGAGTTGTGATTGGCTGTCTGTCGTCACAAACTGCCTTGCTAACTACCGCTCGATTGTTTGTCAGGCGGTACCTCGTGCCATTGCTGAAGTAGCACGGGGGAGTCGCATGATCTCACCTGACGCAAGGCTTGCAGTCCATACCCTTCTCTCTCCCTCTCTCATCTGCTTTAGTCCTAGAAGCACCTCTCAAGCGACTTCTATAAGAAACATCTCTCCAGGGACCTGTCTTGTCTCTGGCTACTTGTTCGTTATTTACACTTGTTCTGGTGGAGTATGGTTTCGCTGGCGAGTTCGAAACGTACCTCTCATTCAGACTTAGTGGTTTTGACATTTTGCAGAGGCTGTCATGTGCAGACACTCTTCAACCCTGGTCCCACGCTGAAACTTCTGAGCTACTTTGTGTGGCATCTATGCACCGTTGTAGTCAGGGACTTGGTTATGCTGAACTTAGATTTAGTATTATGGGAGTTTTATGCCTTTTATCAAGTATCTGCTGATGGTCCTCAGGGTTGTTATTTTGTCTCCTTGTTCCTGACGCTGTGCGGCTGCTTGGTATATTATTGCTGTTTGGCAAATGTTCCGTCAAATTGTACAAGCTAGCCGTTTTGACTGCCCTGATGGTCAAGAAGATAAGATTATTTGAGGACTAATTGTCAGTCACTATTTAAGTCTATTTCGAGTCGAGTGTTACAGACACATTACAAGCACTTTGAGCATGCATACACACTCATACACTTGTATATATTTGTATCATTCGTATTCAAGAGTACATCTCACCACAGTAAAGTACTCACGATCTGTACTGCACAAAAAGTGCCCTCAGCACTAAATTATCATATGTACAATTCAATATTGCACTACAAGAGATATGAAGGAGCTTGTATCCTAAAATATGTAATACTTATTATCCACCTAGACACCTTTTGTATTAAAGACCTCAAATTTTATTTCACTGGATTATTGTCACCTAGTTGTAATCCCAAAACTCTAGTAGTATTTCACTCAATTCAAAAGATAACCAGACCTGATTTTATTCTGGCAACTTGTTACAAAAACCAGAAACAGGCTGAATGCTAGAGAGGGAAGACCTAGTATTCTCTGGAGATGTCTATACTTTATAGATGTTGCCTTTTTGTTACAGTCAGATAAACAGTTGCTTGAATTCAACCCCCAGTAAGTGCAATGTCATGAAGACCGCAGGTGCAAAACCATAATGGGTATAAACTAGGGGGACAAAGACTGGAGACTTCACTTGGAGAGAAACACCTAAGGGTGTGTATAGTGCCCAGTATAATGCCAGAGGCTAACATCAGCTGAATAACCTCTGCAACTAATGCTCATCTGGAAAATCTAAGAGTAGCATTCAGGAATCTAAACAGTCATTTCAGGCCATTAATACAACATACATTAGGCCCATCTTAAGAGTATGCAGCAACAGTATGGAACTTACACCAGAAAAAGCATGGTAGGAAACTAGAAATAGTGCAGAGGAATACAACAAGACTTGTTCCTCAGCTAAGGGGCATGAGGAATGAATCTAATGACATAAAAGGAGGGATCTTGGTAAGGAAGCAGTGTAGGAAGCCTCCATACACAGTTATAAGAGCAGGTACAAAAAAGCATACAAGACTATTAGGGAGTGAATCTGGAAAGCAGCAAGTGCTGCTTTCAGGGCTAGATTCAAAGAAGTGAGCCCTGCAACCCAAAATAGGTAATACATAGAAGTCAAATGAAGCCCTTTTCATGAATCAAAGTATCAGTAATAGCAAGCATGTACCACCATGGTGTAGACACTACCCTACATTAAATATGCTTGTGTTAAAATCCTTGCTATCAATCTTATGACATTGTGGTATCTTATGTGAGCAGTGTAAGCATATAACTGACAAATATAGCTAGAAAGGGGGTTAACAGGACAATGCAACTTTGAAGGATGAAACTAGGAATTTTTAGCTACAAAATGAATATCAAACGATCATTCACCCACCTATTCAAGTTTTTTTTACTCCCTCCCATGCTCTACCATAAAAAAGTATCTTTATGAGGACAGACTGCATAAAAGATTTACAAAAAAAGTAGACTACAATATTTCTAAAAGATATACACTTAAGCTTGACTTCAGTTTGAAAGACAATGCAACTTTGGAGAAGGGGGAGCTAGAAATGATAGGAAAGGTACATAAGCTATGGACATGCATATATCCAACATGCCTGCATTCTGACATCCCAGAATACCCATATTTCTCTTATATTTGGGAAGTGACTATTTTTTTTTTTTCAACAAGTCGGCCGTCTCCCACCGAGGCAGGGTGACCCAAAAAAGAAAGAAAATCCCCAAAAAGAAAATACTTTCATCATCATTCAACACTTTCATCACACTCACAAATTATCACTGTTTTTGCAGAGGTGCTCAGAATACAACAGTTTAGAAGCATATACGTATAAAGATACACAACATATCCCTCCAAACTGCCAATATCCCAAACCCCTCCTTTAAAGTGCAGGCATTGTACTTCCCATTTCCAGGACTCAAGTCCGACTATATGAAAATAACCGGTTTCCCTGAATCCCTTCACTAAATATTACCCTGCTCACACTCCAACAGATCGTCAGGTCCCAAGTATCATTCGTCTCCATTCACTCCTATCTAACACGCTCGCGCACGCTTGCTGGAAGTCTAAGCCCCTCACCCACAAAACCTCCTTTACCCCCTCTTTCCAACCCTTTTGAGGACGACCCCTACCCCACCTTCCTTCCCCTATAGATTTATATGCTTTCCATGTCATTCTACTTTGATCCATTCTCCCTAAATGACCAAACCACCTCAACAACCCTTCTTCTGCCCTCTGACTAATGCTTTTATTAACTCCACACCTTCTCCTAATTTCCACACTCCGAATTTTCTGCATAACATTTACACCACACATTGCCCTTAGACAGGACATCTCCACTGCCTCCAACCGTCTCCTCGCTGCTGCATTTACCACCCAAGCTTCACATCCATATAAGAGTGTTGGTACTACTATACTTTCATACATTCCCTTCTTTGCCTCCATAGATAACGTTTTTTGACTCCACATATACCTCAACGCACCACTCACCTTTTTTCCCTCATCAATTCTATGATTAACCTCATCCTTCATAAATCCATCCACCGACACGTCAACTCCCAAGTATCTGAAAACATTCACTTCTTCCATACTCCTCCTCCCCAATTTGATATCCAATTTTTCTTTATCTAAATCATTTGATACCCTCATCACCTTACTCTTTTCTATGTTCACTTTCAACTTTCTACCTTTACACACATTCTCAAACTCATCCACTAACCTTTGCAGTTTTTCTTTAGAATCTCCCATAAGCACTGTATCATCACCAAAAAGTAACTGTCAATTCCCATTTTGATTTTGATTCCCCATAATTTAATCCCACCCCTCTCCCGAACATCCTAGCATTTACTTCTTTTACAACCCCATCTATAAATATATTAAACAACCATGGTGACATTACACATCCCTGTCTAAGACCTACTTTTACCGGGAAGTATTCTCCCTCTCTTCTACACACCCTAACCCGAGCCTCACTATCCTCATAAAAACTCTTAACAGCATTTAGTAACTTACAACCTATTCCATATACTTGCAACATCTGCCACATTGCTCCTCTATCCACTCTATCATATGCCTTTTCTAAATCCATAAATGCAATAAAAACTTCCCTACCTTTATCTAAATACTGTTCACATATATGCTTCAATGTAAACACTTGATCTACACATCCCCTACCCACTCTGAAGCCTCCCTGCTCATCCGCAATCCTACATTCTGTCTTACCTCTAATTCTTTCAATTATAACCCTACCGTATACTTTTCCTGGTATACTCAGTAAACTTATTCCTCTATAATTTTTACAATCTCTTTTTGTCCCCTTTCCCTTTATATAAAGGGACTACACATGCTCTCCGCCAATCCCTAGGTACCTTCCCCTCTTTCATACATTTATTAAACAAAAGTACCAACCACTCCAACACTATATACCTCCCCCTGCTTTTAACATTTCTGTCATGATCCCATCAGTTCCAGCTGCTTTACCCCCTTTCATTCTAAATAATGCCTCACGTACCTCCACCACACTTATATTCTGCTCTTCTTCACTCCTAAAAGATGGTATACCTCCCTGACCAGTGCATGAAATTACTGCCTCCCTTTCTTCCTCAACATTTAAAAGTTCCTCAAAATATTCTCGCCATCTACCTAATACCTCCCTCTTCCCATCTACTAACTCCCCTACTCTGTTTTTTACTGACAAATCCACACTTTCCCTAGGCTTTCTTAACTTGTTTAACTCACTCCAAAATTTTTTCTTATTTTCATTAAAATTTCTTGACAGTGCCTCTCCCACTATCATCTGCTCTCCTTTTGCACTCTCTCACCACTCTCTTCACCTTTCTTTTACTCTCCATATACTCTGCTCTTCTTATAACACTTCTGCTTTGTAAAAACCTCTCATAAGATACCTTTTTCTCTTTTATCACACCCTTTACTTCATCATTCCACCAATCACTCCTCTTTCCTCCTGCCCCACCCTCCTATAACCACAAACTTCTGCCCCACATTCTAATACTGCATTTTTAAAACTATTCCAACCTCTTCAACCCCCCCACTACTCATCTTTGCACTAGCCCACCTTTCTGCCAATTGTCGCTTATATCTCGCCCGAACTTCCTCCTCCCTTAGTTTATACACTTTCACCTCCCTCTTACTTCTTGTTGCCACCTTCCTCTTTTCCCATCTACCTCTTACTCTAACTGTAGCTACAACTAAATAATGATCCAATATATCAGTTGCCCCTCTATAAACATGTACATCCTGGAGCCTACCCATCAACCTTTTATCCACCAATACATAATCTAACAAACTACTTTCATTACATGCTACATCGTACCTTGTATATTTATTTATCCTCTTTTTCATAAAATATGTATTACTTATTACCAAATTTCTTTCTACACATAGCTCAATTAAAGGCTCCCCATTTACATTTACCCCTGGCACCCCAAATTTACCTACTACTCCCTCCATAACATTTTTACCCACTTTAGCATTGAAATCCCCAACCACCATTACTCTCACACTTGATTCAAAACTCCCCACGCATTCACTCAACATTTCCCAAAATCTCTCTCTCTCTCCTCTACACTTCTCTCTTCTCCAGGTGCATACACACTTACTATAACCTACTTTTCACATCCAATCTTTATTTTACTCCACATAATCCTTGAATTTATACATTTGTAGTCCCTCTTTTCCTGCCATAGCTTATCCTTCAACATTATTGCTACTCCTTTAGCTCTAACTTATGATTAATATATAGTAGTTAAGTATAATCTTTTGGCCTGCTCCTGTGTATGAGACCAGGACACTTCAGATGCCAAAGGTGAGAGAATAACTTCTGGCTCAACCACATGTTCAAGAAACTGAAGTGGTATAAAATTCAAGAGCTACAAAGTATGAAATGTGCATGATCAAAATTGTAAAACAGTTTACTTCTTGAATTTACCTTCTAAATCTTTCATAGCTTGAGGTTTTTCCCAGACAGATTCTTGTGTTTTAGAATTGTAGTAATAATTCCTTCCATCAGGAGCTTTGTGCTCTGTCCAATGAGCAGCCTGTGCTACCATTTCTGGATCTAAATTGGAGTCATCTACAGATGACGAGGGTGCTCCTTGGGTGACAACTGTTGTACTGCTAGCAACCACAACACCACTGTTTGTAGCTTTTACCATACTGTCACTACCTGGACCACTGTTGCTGTTACTACCAGGAATACTGCTGTTGCTCTGTTGACAAACCAAAACATTGTCAGTAGTATTTTAAAATAAAAATAGACAATTTATAAAAAATAATCATTTTCCCCAATACCAAATAACTTATTTTAAGGACTTTAGCAAGAAAATTATACTCACACAATTTTGCATTTAGACAACTACCACTGAAAATTCTCCAAAGAAGATTAAAGAAATTTTAAACATAAGCAATTTCCAAAATACTAAAAAATTTAAACAAAGCAAAAAATTTAAATGTGTAAAATAATAAATAATAATTTGGGTTTTTCTTTCTTTTTGGGCCACCTTGCCTCAGTGAGAAACAGCTAACGTGATAAAAAAAAATTGTACCATCAAAAGAATGCTTTCCAAACATTAATTACCAGTTTCCCTAACACTTAGCACAACATTCCAATTTTCAACTCTAAAAAAAATCATTCATTCCTGATCTTATCAATATGAAATAACATTTTTGTTTTTTGTCACTTAGACACCTAAGTGCATCAGCAAAAAAAAAAAAAAACTAAGTTTAACATATTACAAGACAAAGCCTTATTAACCCTTAAACTGTCCACACACAGATCTACATGCACGTGTGTAGCGCTAACATAGATCAAAGTTTCATTTTTCATTCCTTCAAATTTGGTGCAATAGGCCTGAGTTGCCTAAACGTGAAAAAATGGGTCTGCGCAGTATGGAAAAAAATCGGGGACCACTAGTACCTTGTGAGAGCGCCAGTTCAACTGAACGCCACCTAGAGCAAATGGCATGGAAAACACTAGGGATTCACTGACGTCACGTTGTATTAACACTCCCATTTTAAGAGGAAAGTAAAAATAGGTTAAATAAATACACGAGTGGATGTGGGTGGGTGCGAGTCCGACATGACTAGCTTGTGCTATTAGGTCAGATGTCGTGCTTCCTTTGGTGGATGTGACCTGACTAGGTGGGTCAACTGGTCTAAGCCAGGGGGGTGACAGGGACCTGCCTTGCATGGGCCAGAACGCCTGCTGCAGTGTTCCTTCTTTCTTATGTTCTTACGTATTCGGCAGACTGGCCAGCTGGCCGGCTGGCTGGCTTTGGCTGTCTCTGCATCTTTCTGTCTATATCTGTCTGACTTTATCTCTATCTCTCACATGTACACATAAGTACAGTTATTCTACATAGTGTAAATTACTTAGGATAACCCAAAAATTCCAGGCAAAGTGCTATACAGTGTTTGTAGATATAAGACATAAACATGAAACAAGTAAGCTCATTAACCAAAAACCAACAG